ACTACTACTACTACTACTACTACTAACAATAATAATAATACTACTACTACTACTACTACTACTACTACTACTACTACGGCTATTTTTGGTACTACAATTACCACTGCTACTATTACTTCTTCCACTACTGCGACCACTACGACGACAACTATTTTTCCTATACGACTGCTTCTAGGACGGCCACTTCTACCGCTACGACCACTACCTCACTACCACTTACACCACCGAGAAAATCCAATCCACCGCCGCGCTGCTGTGGAAAAGTCCCCCCCCCTCTTCCTCCGGAATCCGCCCCCCCACTTGCCCCTACCTCAGAAAATCCCCCCCCTCGTCGAAGCCCCCCCCTCCCCCCCGCCCCCCCCCCTCACCCCCGGCAAGACCACCAGCCCAGAACAACCCCCCCCCTCCAGAAAACCGAGGCCAGGCCATTGTGGAGCGCGCGGTTGTCGCACACTTTTTCTTGAATGTTGCCTTTCGCCTCGGCGCCGCGCACATTTTTCCAAAAGTGGCGTTCTCGCCTCGGCGCCGCGCGCATTTTTGCATCACTCTTCTTTGCTTCTGTCTTATCTCTGCTTTCATATCGTGCGTTTTTTTGGCACTCTCGCATCGGCGCCGCGCGCATTTCTTCAACAGTAGCATTCTCGCCTCGGCGCCGCGCGCAGTTTTGCATCACTCTTTGCTGCTTTCGTTTTCTCTATGTTTTCCTATCGCTCGTTCGTTGCACTTTCGCCTCGGCCCTGTGCACATTTTTCCAAGAGTGGTATTCTCGACTCGGCACCACGCACTTGTTGCATCATTATTATTTGGTTTCGTCTTCTTCTTGTTTTCCTATCGCGCATTTTTGCACTCTCGCCTCAGCGCCGCGAGCGTTTGTTCAGAAGTGGTTTTCTCGCCCAGGCGCCGCGCGCATGTTTGCGTCGCTCTTCTATGAATCCGCTCGAAATCAACCACTCGTCTGATAGCACGCCGCCGCGCATTAAAATTGCCATGGCGCCTAGCATCCGCAATAGCCGACTCCCATGCCGCTAGGGACGACGACCGCCGTCGGAGGGAGATAATGCGCGCGGCGTTCAGAGATGCATTCGCTGCGCACCCCGCAAAAATACAAGACCATGAACTAGCGCCACAGAGGCGACATCTCTCTCTCTCTCTCTCTCTCTCTCTCTCTCTGGGTGCGCGGCACCCCTTGAACCAGCCGAAGGTCTGCTTTGCCGCCTGCGCGCCCACGCCCATCAGCCCAAGCTTCAGCCCGCGGACGCGGCGCGGATTGCACGGGCAGGGGTCCGAGCCCCTCTTCGCGCGCGCCCAGTCCACTGTCCAATACTTGATGGGCTTGCACGCGACGATCTCCATGGCAAGCAACGGCCATGCGCGAAAACGTCGACCTTGGGGCGGCGGAAGTAGCCCTCTCGAGCGCCGCGGCAGCGACGCCGCTGTCCTCGGGCACCGCCTGCTCGACGGCGGCGAGGCGCCGGCCGCGGGGAGGCTCGCGCTTGCATCCCAGCGTCGTGGCGCCGCTGCCACTTTGAGCCCCTGCGCTCTTCTTTCTGAGGGTGGGCGTTGGAAGGGGGCATTTCCGCGCCCGCTGCATCGGCGCCTTCGCGGCAGGCCCCCTTTTGGTCACGTTCCTCTTCGTTGCCCCCCCCCCCCTCGCGGCAGCGGGTTTCTCCATGACGGCGGGCGCCCCCCTCGCAGCGGGCTTCTGGCACATCGCGGCAACCTTTTCGCGCCCGCCCCCAACGAGCAGCGCCGCCCCCCTCGTTGGGCCCGGGATCGGGGAAGACGCAGTCGCGCAGGTGCGCGTCGAACTTCTTGAGCGCGGCGGCGCCAATCTCCTCGCCGATGGCGATCTCCAAATGCTCCCCGACCCCATCCCTTGCACAGCGAGTGGATCTAGGATGTCCCCCAGGTGCAGCTTCCAGTTGTTGCGCGAGAACCCCCACCGTAGACGCACGGAGATTCGTCGGCAGACGTCTCTTTCATCACCCAGTCGGCGCCCGACGCCTGAGTGAACACGGCTGTCTCGCGGCACCTCAGGCACCGCAAGGTGAACGCGCGCTCGACGCTTACAAACACGACGCCGGACCTCCCGAAGTCGCCCAGCGAATCGGCGTTGACCGTTGGCCCCATCGCCGATGACCCACGAAGTTGGGCCGCAGGTAAGCACGCAGCTCCTGCCCAGGCACCTCCACTGTCGGACAGAGATCTCCTCGGCGCAGCGCAAGTCGCGGAGGGCGCAAGTCGCGCCCGCGCGCGAGGCCATGCCCGCGCGGGCGACGAGCTTGCAAGCGCTGCGCGCGCAATTCCACGAATCCGTCTCAAAAGGACCGTCCGCGCCGATGTCCTCTGTCGGAGGCCAGGCCCCGGCTCGAAGAGGCCGTCTGCGCCAGCCAAGCCGGCAGAAACGCGCCGCCAGAGCGGGGCGGGGGCGCCGGAGGCGAGGGGCCGCGAGAGGCGTTCGCCCAACACTTGTTTTGCCAATGGCTTGGAGAGGACGGCGACGGCGAATGTGATTGGGCGACTTGCTCGAAGATCGCCCCTCTCGGAGATGTTCTCGACTTTTCGACAGCGCCCGCATTCTCGGCGTCGCGGACATTCGCCGCGCGAGCTCGCTCGGAGATTCCTCTCCCCCATCAACGGTTCCAGAACAGCTTGGACATCGTCGCGGCGCATTCGCGGAGCACGCGGTCTGCCAGCTCGCGGCGGCCTGCATGGCAGGCCCACAAAAGCACGCCCCCAAATCATCCAAGGGGAGACCCCAGGGCGGTCGCTCGCCGACATGACTGGCAAAAATCACCCCTCGCCATGGCGCGCGCAACTACGCGGCCCACTCTTCCCCGCGCGCCTTCACTGGCGACGACGCGCTGAAAACGTCGAGGGCCGCGCGCAGCTGCTCCACGGCGCCGCCCATCAAATTGGCAGCCGCGCCGTCGAACGTGAGCACCGACACGTTGAATGACTCTAAGTGCGACCCCAAGGCGCTCCTCGGGATGTCCAAATTCGCTTTCTTTCGCGAAGCACACGGCCGCCATTCAGACGCCGCGGGGTCCGGGCGGTTGCTGCGCATGTTGCCAAAGCGCGAGCACCTCGGAACATCCACCAACTCGGCCGAGAGCTGATGCGACTCGGCGGCGACAGACCAGAGCAGGGGATTGCCGCCCCGCGGCGTCGCGCCTAAAACAACGTTGTAGATCGCCTGCTCAACCGCATTGGCGTCGACGCTGCAATGCTATGCAAGGAAATCCTTGCACGCATCGCGATCGTTCGCAATCTATAATATCTGCTCGGGGGCGGATACTTCGCCCGCATCTGCGAATGCCTTGATGACCGACAAGACGGAGGTCGCGAAGCCCACGTCGGACGCGTTGCCGCCGCCAGCCATGGCGCGCACCTTGTTGGATTGTCCCTGTTAGGATGGGCTAACCGCGAGCATGCGCCCAGCGCGCTGGACGCACGCCACGTCGATCGCCTTGCCACCTGGGAAGCGCTCGCCATCCCTGCCGCAGGCGCGCACGCGCGACAAATACTTGTTCAGCTTTGCCTCCTCCTCCTTCTCGCACTGGGCGTTCCCGAGATTGCCTGGGCAGTTCTGGGGCGCGACCAGGTCCCGAATGACTTCTCTGCACGCACCGGCGACGGTGCCATCGACCAGCTGCGTGGGCACCACGGGGCACATGAGCTCGTCGTTCGATTGAACGGCCAAATCTGCGAAGTGGAGGCCGCACGCCTCGGTATCCTGCAACGCGCGCATCAAGTCGACAACGACTGGGTAGCCGCCGGAAGGGGGCGCGCCATGTGACGCAGCACTATAGTCGAACCGCTGCGGGTCCAATGAGAGGCGCTGAAAGCCAGCGGATGCCGCGCTCCAGCGAAACAGGTAAGGACGTTCAGAGAGTCTTCTTCATAATGTCCAGCCTGGACGGCTCGTCAGCAGTTCCCTCGTCTGTCTGGGCGCCAGGAATGAAAGTAATCTTCTTGACAATTCACGACTTCACGAATGAGTACTTCGCCTCCGTCGCCTTATGGACCCTGAGGAGCAGCGCCGCGGCTCCGCTTTCCACGGCGATTTCAGGCTCCACCCGTCGGAGCCATCGCGCCCGCCACGTCGGCCACGAATACTTTCACCCGCTGAAGTTGCTGCCCTGACGGCTGCGACAGACCCCCCCTCACTTCGTCGATGCCGCACTTATGCAAGAAGGGAAACAACTCGTCGTGCAAGTAGATGTGCTTCCCCGTCGGGACGTGAACCAATCGAAAAACGTCGGGTCGTCCTGAAACCGATTCTCCTGCACGTTCACCTTCGCGGGGCCCGCCTCGAAGGTGGCGCAGTGGTCAACCCCTCTCGAACGCCTGGTCATTGATTCAACCTTCAAGCGCGGAGTCTCTTTGCGCTCCCACTTGGACGCGACGGTCCGCAGATTCACCATGAGGGTCGCCCTGCCGCAGCTCGGCCGCACGGGGAAATCACCGCCCGAAAACGCGTTCTTCAGGAAATCGCTGCGGACAAACGCCGTCGCAGATGCTTCCTGTGCGATGACGGCTCGGCAGCAAGCAAAATTGATGCCCTGCTTGTAGTGCTCTTCCTCGCTCTCAGAGGGGAGGGGATGCACTTGTGAGACATTGCGGCAAAGGGCCGACAGCAAAAATTGTCAATTACCACCGCCTCCGGTGGCACACGCACACGCGCGCATCCTGCTTCCCCAGGAGCCTGAGAATGTCGCTAGCGCGTACCATGCGACGACCTTCGGGCTCCCCCGCGAAAGCAATCCTGATCGCCAACTGAAAGTTCTGTCGATCGGCTTCGGCGGGCTTGTAGGTCAAGGAAATGTGAAAGGGCACTTCATGTGTATGTAGCAGCTGTTGTTCTTCGCTGACTTCTGGATTCACCCCATGCTCCCAGCACCTTGCGCGCCTGCCGCGGCAGGGGAGATTCTGGCGCGGGCACTGTCGAAACACAGTATGATGTAGTCGACAACTGGGCGGTCCTGCCGGACGAACTCGGCGCACGCCTTCAGCGTACCAAAGCCCTTCGTCGCAGTCGCCAACGCATGCAGGAGTGCGGGTGCGCTGCCGCCGTTCCCCAATGTCCCACATTGCGCAGCTCGTGATCTTCCACTGGGGTGAATGACCCCAGCCGACGCCGATCGACGCTACATCGACCCTGCTCGACGCTAGTCGACGCGAGATTGGCGCGCGCCTATCATCGAGTGCCGGAAGCTAGCACACGCCAACGCACTCTAAGGACGGAGGAGGAGGAGGAGGAGGACGAGAAGGAGGAGGAGGAGGAGGAGGAGGAGGAGGAGGAGGAGGAGGAGGAGGGGGAGGAGGAGGAGAAGGAGGAAGAGAGAAGGAGGAGGAGGAGGAGGAGGAGGAGCAGGTGGAAAGGAGGAGAAAGAGGAGGAGGAGGAGGAGGAGGAGGAGGAGGAAGGATGTCGCCTAAAACGCATGACCTCTGGCGCGCGCCTCGCCAAGCTGCGGTGCGACAGTAGCGGCCCGCGTGCTCGGGACTGGCCCCACCCCGCGACCCCCGAAAACCGCGCACCGCAGGGCACCTGGGCGAAATGTCATCTGGCTTTCGTCAAGGGGCCCTGGGACACACAAATGAACACACACACACAAAAATAAAAGGATCCCAAGTATCTTTCCATATTTTTGGGGTTGTCGTCTTCCCCCCACTTTCCCATACTTTCCCATCTTTTCTGGGGAATCGACGATTAAGTGTGTCTGTTTGTTTTTACCCTCCTGATTTCGGTCCACAACTCGGGCCTGGCGGCCGTTCGGGACGATCTGGACACTCCTGGGCGCTGTCTGGACACCCGCTCTTTCACTCCGCGGCCCAAGGGGGCCCCCCGGCTTTGCCCCCAGAGAGCAGGCGTCTCGTCATGGATCCTCTTTTCGTGGCGAAAAGGGGCCCGACCAGGAACGCGCGCGAGAGAACTAGTTGAGGCACTACAGAAAAGAGAAGGGCGCGCATAAGGAGCTAGGGGGAGGGGGGAGGCTTCTTGGCAGGAGGCTGCTTCTCAGAAGACGCCGGCCCTACATCCATAGAGAAAGACCGCGCCTTCTGAGAAGCAGGTGTGCTTCTAAGAAGCCTTCCCCCTTCCGCCCCCAGCACTCGCGCGTGGCCGCACCCTTTCCCTGTCCTAGCCTTTCGTCGTCGTCGTCGTCGCCGTCGTCGCTGTCGTCGTCGTCGGCGTCGTCGTCGTTGTCGACGGCATCGTCGTCGTCGTCGTCGGCCTCGTCGTTGTCGACGGCATCGTCGTCGTCATCGTCGGCGTTGTCGTCGTCGTCGTCGTCGGCGCTGTCGTCGTCGTCGTGGTCGTCGTCGTCGTCGGCGCCGTCGTCGTCGGTGTCGGTGTCGTCGTCGTCGTCGTCGTCGGCATCGTCGTCGTCGTCGTGGCCGACTCTCTCCTTGTCCTGCGGACCCTCTCGTCCGGTCCGAAGAGAAGCCTCCGCAGGCCTCCGGGAGCCTGCAGCCGGCCTGCGGCGACGCGCGGAGACCGCCGACGAGGTATCGGCGAAGGCACAACGCCAGTGACGACGACGACGACGACGACGACGACCACGACGACACCGACGACAACGACGCCGACGACGACGACGCCGACGACGACGACGACGACGACGCCGACGACGACGACGACGACGCCGACGACGCCGACGACGACGCCGACGACGAGCCCCGGCGCTCCTCCCTCTGCGCGCGGCCGAGCCCTGAAATCCGACGTGGCGAGAAACACCCCGAAAATCGCGGCCGGAGCCCCGGACCCCATCTCTCTGCCTCACTCTTCGAGCCGGATCGATCTGTGAGGGCCCTGGGGCTCGAAACAACGAGAAATCGAAGAAGAAAAAAAAACGGGGGGGGGGGAACAAAGAAAAAAAAGCCCTGGGGATCGAAAAATCGGGGGGGGGGGGGAAACAAACAAAAACAAAAAAAACGCCCGCCTCGGCAAAACTGAGACGCTGCGCGCACGCGGGCGCGCGCGGAGACCCACTGCCCGGACGCGGCGCGGGCCGGAGCGCGGCTCCAGGCGCCCCCGGCCAACCGAGCGCTGAGTCGGGCCTGTCCCCCCACAGGGGGATTTTCGACCCGAAAAAATAATCAACAAATCGTCCAAGAATAGACTGGGGACTATTTGTTGAATGTTTTTGACCTTTTGCTGAGGTATGTTTGAAGCACTATTTTCTATCTTTCGCCGAAAACCCCCCTGGAGGGGGATTTGCGACGAAAAAAAAAAAAGAACAAAACATGCCCCTAGTCTGGGGACTATGTTTGGAACATTTTCTACCTTTCTGCCCTATGTTTGAAGTATTTCTCACTCTTCGCCGAAAACCCCCCTGTAGGGGGACAGGCCCGACACAAAACACGAGCGGCCCGCCGATCCCCTCAGGCAGCACGGCCGCGGGCGGGCCGCGGGCGCTGCTCCCGCCGGCAGCGCCGGCGCCGCCCTCGCCGCCTCTGCGCGCTGGGAGGGCGGGGCCGGCTCGATTTCCCAGAGCACCTCGAGGCACGAAAGAGCAGCCCTGGGATCCTGGCATCTCGATTCTTGAAGGGGCCCTGGGGCACACAAATAAAGACACACCCATAAACATGAATGTTCCCCATAGTTTCCCAGCTTTTCTGGGTTCCTGTCTTCCCCCCCACTTCCCATAGTTTCCCGTACTTCCTGGGGAATCGACGATTCATTGTGTCTGTGTGTTTTTTTCCCTCCCGAATTTTGTCGAGCAGGGCGTCTTCGCCCTTTTGCGGGCCCTGGGACCCTCACAGATCGATCGGGCGTGAGAAATGGCACACAAAGATGGGGTCTGGGGCTCTGGGAGCGATGTTTCACTATGCTGCAACTTTTTCGCAACGTCGGATCTCAGGGTCGAGTTATGAAAAATCACGACGGGAAGTTGTCCATTCTTTGCGCCCTCTGCGGGCCCTGGCCAGGCCTCGGGACCGTCAAGAAACAACCCAGGATGAGAAACCGGTCCCCGGAATCGGGTCGAGACCTCTGGGGTCGACGTTGTGAAAAAAAGTCACGACGTCTGGTGTCTGGGTTCCCTGAGATCCGACGTAGCAGAAATATTGCAGCATAGTAAGAATCACTCCCAGAGCCCTAGACCCCATCTTTCTGCGTCATTCTTCACGTCGGATCGATCTGTGAGGGTCCCAGGGCCCGCAGAAAGGCGAAGACGCCCTGCTCGACAAGATTGAGACGCCAGGATCTCAGGGCTCGTCGCGTCCTCCCGAGAGCTTTTTTCCCTGGCGAGCTTTTGCGGCGGCGAGCCCGGGATAGAAGTGAACTGGGGCCAGGCCCTCTCGGAGGGCGGCGGGCCTTCCCAAGGCCCTCGTGCCCTCGGAGAAGCTTGCCGCGTCTTCGGGGGAGGCTCTCGGAGTGCGCGGCGGGGATGTCGTCCACATCCACCGCCTGGGAGCCGACGTCCTGGTGCCCCAGCGGGCGGTGGATGTGGATCTGTTTCGGCCCCGGGGGCCCGAACATGTCCATATCCACCGCCTGCCGAGGCTCCGAAAACTGACCCTCCAGGCGGCGGTCACGTACGACTTCCCGCCTCGGACGGGACACTTCTCAGAAGGCCCGAGGCCTTCGGAGCCATCTGAGAAGGCCCGCCCCCTCTGCATTCCCCCCTGGGCTCGGCGCCGAATGCTGGGAGAAAGAGGAGGACAGCACATGGGGGAACGACAGCGCCCAGACTGAGCGGGCCCTGCCCCGGCAGTGCGGCCAGCATTGG